AAAAAAAGTGGAGCTTCTACCCCATCCAGCCCAGATCCCAGATCTCAACCCAATTGAGAATATCTGGGCTCTCGTGAAGCAAGAGCTGTCCAATCGTCCGGCATCAAGTGTAGACGGTCTGAAAAAGAAAATTCAGGAGATTTGGTACGAAAACCATTCAAGATCTCTATCACTTCATGCCGAAGCGCCTTCTTCAAGTTAAAGACAATCGAGGTGGCCACACGAAGTACTAAAGGTGCGTGAAGGCTTTAGATAGTTTCAGGATGGTTACTGCTATAATATGAAATGCAATAGTGTTAACAGCAGCTCTAAAAGTTGAGAATAAAAAAATGGATGTTTACTTTTTTTGCCATATAATTTTGCTTTTTTTTTTTACAGGGCACAACTTCTAGCAGCTTCTATCAATCGGGTCAAATGATAGTCTGTTGGAAAACTTTCGCGTCAGGCATTCATATCATGCATAGTAGCCAATTTAAATACCGTCAGGGACCAAACGCCGTGGGCCAACGTGCTCAAGGAGACGTTGCACGTAGACCTTTTGTACCCACTGTACTACATTACCCCTTTTTTGGATTGCGGATATGAGCTAGCCCAACATCATCAACGCTCGCAGAGCGTAGTCGTATGAGATCGTCGTCTAGCGATGCAATAGACGTCCCAGGAACAAAACCAATGTCGGCACACAGTCGCCTAATGAGCTCAGCGGCATACGTCGTATCACGATCCGGGCTAAATGGAGCTGCCCATTGATTTGAGCCATCAGTTTCCGGTCTGCACGTTGTGTTCAACGCTGCCAGAATGGAGCGATATCTGTCAAACGTCATGCAGGACGTAGCTGATGGATACTGCTTTCTATTCGCGTTGTCAAAAAAGAACGACGGGGTCACGTGATAAAAGCTTAGCCAGAGCTCCACTTCCATAAACTCGAAGAGCTCGTCAACGGTGACTGCCACAGCTGCACCCAATCGCGCGTTCACAAACTGCTGTAACTTTGAGAGAACTGTGGCATCCAACCACGTGTGCAGCGGGGCTGCCGTAGCTGAGCGTCAGAGGAAGACGGTTAACTCAAAGAGTAAAGGGGTTAACTCAACACCCTAATAAAGGTTAATAGGTCCTTAATATCCGAAGGCCCCTACTAACGATAACCTTAATAAAAGGGGACGTTACTCTTTAGCGTTCTTAATCTCAACTGTTTATTTTATCTTTATT